AAAAAAAAAAAAAAAAAAAAAAAAAACACACACACACACACACACAGACTTAATTTTTGGCAGCATGAGGAAGGATAATTGGCAAAAGTGTCTAATAATGTATAACTAACTAAACTGAAGAAATACTGTGATATATTTAATACAGGTAGCAGTACACAGATATCTCCATTTTGTAAAAACCTGTCACATTAGCACATGTCTGTGTGGTTAAACCTAGCACTGACTGCAAAACATTGTGAACATACTTAAAAGAGTCTGGGGGATGAAAGAGCTTACCCTCATACAACTGTGCTCCTTCCTCCTGAAAGTGATCATGTCACATGTTGAGGTCATCCCTCTTTAACACTTCTTCCTCCAGCAAACTTCCCTATACTCCCCTCCAGCCATGTACGCATTCTGTTCACATGAATACTGGCAGTTGTAACCTTTACTACTGACAATGTTTTGGGCTTGCTGAAATAGGCCACAGAGGAGAGGGGAACACAACAATGGGCATGGAGGCACTGTCAGCCCCACCATTCATGGGACTGCTTTCTGTGGCCTCAGTATATGCTGTATGTATTTTCATAGTAATGCTGTTCTGCTGTTTGTTCAATTTATCTTGTATGGTGCAGTTAAATCTCTTTCATATTGCTGTACTCCAAGGCAGCAAAAAGTATACAAATCTTGACTAATAATACTCCAAAAAATCTCAGACAAATGTGCGGCTCCAGTCTCACTGGACTTCTTTGTCTCTGCCTTCTTGCTTCAATCACAGGCGAACATTACAGACTGTTCAAACTGAAGGTAATTTTAAATTAACTGTTACTGGAACATTGCTGTAGGTATGTATATATTGCAAGCAAAACTAATAAACCTTTTTAATGTATCACATATCATTACACACAAAAATCTGGCCCCAGAACCTCATACATCTTCAATGATATATAAATCAGTAACATAGGAACTAAATTTAAGAGCTCTGAACACCATCGTATCATTATCTGGCAATACTATATCATTCTGTGGCAACATTTAAGGCTTCATGGTGGCAGTACAGTTTAACATTTCTGCTATGCAGAATTAGTCCTTCCAAATCAACACTTTAATACACAATTCATTATTCGTTTTTAAAGCATCAAGCAGCTGGTTGGTGAGTACCAAGCAATCTTCCTGCTGTCTGTTGATAACTGTGTGCAACGGAACAACAGGGCCCTTATAGGTCACACTGCGCAACTTTTCTTCATTTGCCACTTCAATGCTGTACAGGAAGTCAGTATTGGTAGGGTCCAAAGAGACCATCTGTTGTAACAAGAAGCCATTTTATAAATCTAGTTTATTCAGAGTCCACATACATTTGTCAAACTACTTATAGCCTTCTACATATACACAGATTAATGATGAATCTTCTGTGCAACATGTAGCTAGTGACGGACTTCAAGACATGTCATACTGAGGGTTTCAAGTACCTGAATTTGTTCTCAGTTGTCTGCATGTTCAATGAGGCTAGAAAAGTTTTGAAACCATGACAGAAGGGTGCAGAAAAGTGGGAAGGCCTGATTAAAACCCTAGGAATGGCTAGAAGACACAGAGAATGATTTATGTGAGGTGAAAGTGAAGATGCCAAAGGCAAATAACAGAGAACAGAGAGCAGGCATTGTCATAAAGAGCTACAAGGTTCTTAGAGGACTGTACAGCCAGAGAGTAATTAGCAGGCAAGTTTAAGTCCAGTCACAACTGAAATATAGAATGCTGTACTCAGGATAAAAACATTACATTAAATTAACTGATCAAGCTAGAATATGTGGCATATACCTGCATCCCGAGCCAAGTCTTTTCTCCAGATGTTCTATGGCACAGGAAGAAGAGGCCCCAATCACGAATGTCAAAAGCATGGACAAGTGACTGAAAGGAAGATTTACTCATGGTGTGAGAGAATTTCTGCCTGCAAAATAAAAATAATCATTAATCATGATGTTATTGAATTAAAGTAGCCAGTATAACACAGTTGGTATAGCAACTGGCTATGGGCTGGACAACTGAGAGGCTGAGAGTTTGAGTCCTGGTAGGGTCAAGAATTTTCACTTCTCCATGTCGTCCAGACTGGCTCTGGTGTCCGCCCAACCTCCTATACCATGAGTACCGGGGCTCTTTCCCGGGGTTAAAGCGGCCGGGGCGTGAAGCTGACCACCTACCTCCTCCTAGCGCCAAGGTCAAGAAAATGTGGATCCATACATCCACTCCCCCATACACCTTAATGACATAGTGCTTGGTTAGTTAAGCACAGGAATAACTTTATCAACTTCTACAGGAGTAGTCACTGACAGAATGCTATAAACTGAATCATCCAAACCCCTGAAACAATTTCATTTTTTATGTGAATCAATTTTATTCTGTGTTTACACTCTTTTATGTCATTAAGTGTAAAAATATTTTTTTAATTCCTTGCAATTTGCCTGTATAAATGAATGATGTAACCCCAAAAGTCAAATTTCTGTTATGATATAATCAAACTATAATGGAAACAAATGAGCTGGAACGTGTTCAGTGCTCCACTACCTGACTAATATTACTACTATCAACAAGAACCAGTGCAGTGGGTAGACTTCTCTGGACTTCTAACATATGCCTGCTGAAAAGGATCCATCCGAGCCTCTGTTAACTGATGGCATCCCAGGGCTCCCCTTACACACAAGAGTGTGATGGCAGTTCTTTACCAGAAAACTAATGAAACCACTGCTACACAGATGTCACTGGTATTACCTTGTGATACCACAGCACATACTTCACCTTTCACTTTGTAACAGCATTTTCAGAACTATGACACTCACTACTGGTCGCAGTAGGAGATAACCATAGTCAGTGTGTGGAAAAACTTGATCTTACAGATTATGGTCTTCTAAGTTGCAACACCTTGTAGTGTAGTGCAAAGAGAAGACAAGTAAGGAACAGTGAGAGCAGGAAACGGGCTTCACTTGCCACCAAATTTTGTTGTGCTTCTTGCTGGTATTGCTCTTCAAACCTGAAGATGGAGGCAGTATGCTCCCTTGGGAGTTCTGGGCTCACTCCAAACTAAACGGCATTACAACCCAGAAGATTCACTCTACAGTCAGTACTATGGAAACCTCAAATACAACATTGATTATATGAACTACTTAAGCACCATTTGCTTTTACAATTGTCGTGTTCCATTAATTAGAATATGCCCAGACCAGGCACACCTTTTATAAACACACTGTATCATTTTCATTTCCTTCAAATTTCTCAGTTCATGTGCTCTCTCTACAATCAAAGGTTCATTCAATGACACAATATCCTACAAGTCACAACATAAAATTTTATGAATAACTATAACTTAATCATTTAGGGATTGCTTGAGGCTGTCAGTACTTTGGATGGGACACCAAAAATCGAAAATCTTTAACACAAAGCAGAAGTGCTTACCCACTTGATTGTAAAAATTCAATATGTCACAGTAAAGTAGGTAACACTTACCCCTTACAGATGCAGGAATCATTCTCAGTTATCACATGACTGTGAGAGGCCATCAAGTGAAATCGCATGCCATTCAAAGTGTGAGCTTCATTACAATTGTCTACCAAACAGATGTACGTGCGAAAGCGGCATGTATTCTCATGTGCAGCCTTGTCCCTCTGGCACATCATCTTGCTGCACCCATTCACGCGATATTTACATGGCAATGGGATTCTCTCCACCATCGCCTCTACCGGGTAGTTGCGCGTTCTTGATCTACGCTGCTTACACAACGGGCATAAACTAACTCGTTTCCAGCAGTTGTCACACACATGATGACCTCTTTCACATTGCAAGACAGGTGATGTGACGATTTCTAGACATACTGGACATTCAAGGATCTTCCAGATATCAGCCAAATAATTCTCCTCTTCCAGTAAGCAGTCCGTAGTTTGCACTGTCTATACAGTGAAGGAAAGTGCATGTTAGAGCAAGTAATTTGTAACAATTAGATAGGCTCATCTATTAAAGCACACACTTGACACGTATTGAAAGTACAGTGGTTTGATACTTGGCACTCGGTGTACTTACTTTGCTAATCTTCATGGACCTGCTGTCCTTGCATTCTGAAACAAAGATCAATCACAAATATAAAATTAACACTTCCACATGTTAATCTAGCTGAAGTTTCCATAAAATTACCTACAAACTGAAGGATACAATTTCCATAAATTTTCATTATAAGACTATATGTATACATGTATTACTGTCATGTGTATGTGTGTGACTATAGATGGGGTTTGGATTGGTAATCAGATTTATCGGACACTTACAGAACGTAACTACAAATAACTGCAACAGTCTGACTGAGTTACACATTCCAAAGAACACTGCAACTACAGCACACATAGTCTTTTCAGTCTACTACGTCTTCACAAGTCGTTGTCCAGTGACAGATCCCAACGTCATCTGCTTCCATACTCATGTTCTTACCAACTGACGGCTTGCTCCAACTGTCAACTCTCACTAACTGCCCTGCTAATAACATCTCAGCACAGAAAACACCATTACTGTTGTTGCTCATCTGCTACTTAGTGGCTTTTGGAGGTGACGAATCTTTGGGACATATATACTGTGTGAAAGAATTCAGGCAGCAAATAGCACTATTCTTCAGCACAATTTCTGTTTACTGCCATATTTATATGCACCTCATATATTTATCATGAATATGTTTTAAGGCACAAAATGAAATTTGCTACTGTTAGTTTTTCATAAACATGTACGTTGCATATTCATCGCTTTGCAAGCTGTTAACTGTGCTTCAAATCACAGTGGGTCAATGCCTCCACAGCCTGTAGCACAAAGCTTAGAATCTGGCAACAGAGCATTCAGTTTTAACATAAACCGCAGCAGTGATTCCAGCTTAAGAAACTTCAACGGGAGAGGACAGTAGCAGTCATAGTCATTTTCACAACATGAGAAGGTAAGACAGAAAACAGAATGGGGCCGTTCCATTGAGTTGGTTTCACATCACATAGGCTGAGTTCTATCCCAGGATAGCCCCTGTAGCATTATGGCGGATGAAGTGGCAATGGAGCAGAATTTTCCCCTAAGCGCATCTATTTTCCTTTGCAAATTATCATTCCAATAATGGTCCAACTTATCTCTCATGAAGGCCTGGTACAATAGGCATACTTGAGGCCACAATACTGTGGAATACTGGAATCTGTTGTTTCGAAGCTTCCACAGACTAAGGGCATGGAATTCAGGTGGAAAGTTAGATCCATGCTAGAGAAGTGTAAGTCTTCCAGACCCAACATGACCATGAAGGAAGTGAAAGCCGTGAAATCTTTGAGACTTAACAAGGAAATTAGGATTCTTCGAGTAGACAAAGGCAACTGCACAGTGGTTTTGGACGAATCCGAATACAAGGTTAAGTTAAACACGTTGCTAGAATCCGGGGTTTACGAAACCTTGCCCAAAGACCTTACAGCTAAGGTGGAGAGGAAAGTACAGAAACTCCTTTCTAAATACAAAACCACTCTTCCGACCGATCTTAAACACAAGCTTACTCCATAACACAGCAAACCTCCACATCTACATGGTCTTCCCAAGATTCACAAAGCGGGTATTCCTGGGAGGCCTATAGTAAGTTTGATTGGTTCTCCTTGCTATGCACTCTTAGAAACTCTCTTGAAAGCAGACCGAAAAGAGATCTGCAACAGACGGCACAGTGCGTCTATAGCATTTCCTGTGAATGTGGCAGAAGCTGCATTGGCGAAACAGGCAGAACTCTGGCCATGCGGCTCTGGGAACATAGGCATAACCTCAAAGAAGGTCTTCTAGAAAAATCTAAACTAGCTCAACATGCCTAAANACAGCAAACCTCCACATCTACATGGTCTTCCCAAGATTCACAAAGCGGGTATTCCTGGGAGGCCTATAGTAAGTTTGATTGGTTCTCCTTGCTATGCACTCTTAGAAACTCTCTTGAAAGCAGACCGAAAAGAGATCTGCAACAGACGGCACAGTGCGTCTATAGCATTTCCTGTGAATGTGGCAGAAGCTGCATTGGCGAAACAGGCAGAACTCTGGCCATGCGGCTCTGGGAACATAGGCATAACCTCAAAGAAGGTCTTCTAGAAAAATCTAAACTAGCTCAACATGCCTAAAAAGAGGGACATAGGGTAGGCTGGGATGAAGCTAAGATTTTGAATATTGAAAGCCACATCAGATATAGGAAATACAAGGAAGCGGCCCATATGGCATGCTCGGCCAACCCATTTAGCCAACCCCGTTTGGACTTTTCTCCCATTTGGATCCCCATTATCAGCAATGAAGTCACCAATTCACATAGAAGATCTGCATGACGTGATTTATGTTTCTATTGATTTATATTAGGTTCTAAATTAGATAGACGTGATTTACTCCACTGTTGACGCTAGTTAGACACTATTATTCTTTTTGTACTAGTTCTCCTTTCTATTCCATGCCGTGGGGTCATAGACCTGGTTATTAGTTTGGTTTCCTGACATAAATTTCTATGGCTCTGTCTATCCTGGTTCCGCACTTGTATGTGTTTGGCACAATCTGTTATGCATATTTTTCTTATTAGTTCTCATGGACTTCTCAGGTGTTTATAACCTTTGTGTTTTGTGACAGTGGTTGTGTAATGATTGAGGCTAGCTCTTTCTAAGGGACCTAACAGAATAGGTGTTTTCCCTCACAAGTCAAGGGATGCAGAAAACAGTCTTAAATGCAAACAGAAAGTACAAACTTACGCAATCTCCGAGGGCGTCTTGATCTTTTTTGAAGATTCAACTCTGAGCTGCGTCCTAACTTTTCTATTGAACCTGTGAAGCTGAACAACGCACTGTGTGAAGGTGCTGCTGATGGAATTCCAAAATTGAATCCATTACTAATTAGATTGGTATTAAAATTATTTGGTGAGCAAGATGGGATATTTTTGAAGTTAGAAACGTAATCAAAAGCCTTCATGCCATCACTTTGCTTCATCTCAGTAGATCCAGGTGGAAACAAGCTGCTACGAGAAGTAGGTGCTGAACTGCCACTTGCTTTTCTTGGTGACTTTAGGTCACCAGTCCTGTCCCCGGGGAACACATCAGCAAATGCAGTTTTTGTAAGTGATGTTTCTTTCAGAGGCTCAAATTTTGGAGACCAAGAATAAGATTCAAATCCTAGTTTTGATTTGTAGGGGGTAGATCTTTCAAATTCAGTTCCACTTCCTGTTAACGACAATGATGTCGGCTTACCAAACTGACCCACGCTAACAGCTGATGTATTAGGCACACTTAATGAAATTTTGGTTAAGGCAGGAGGACTCAGTTTTCCAAAACTGACAAATGCTGAAGCAGACACGCCTGATGATTCTGCTGAGATGCTACATCCTGTGTTCTGTCCTGATGTGCTTACTGTGTTGGAACACGTGTTTACTTCTGCTGTAAAATCATGTCTGAAATATGTATTTCCCACTGTACCTGCAGCTGCCATGACTGATTCAGTACAAGGTGCTCCACATTTGAAGATTTCCCCAGAGTCTAAAAAAGAAGTGGTTCTACCATGTTGAAAGCTGCCATCCGACAGTTTGGAAATACTTGATGATGAGATTGGTGAGCCCAGAGTACAAAATTTAAAACCTGTAAAAACTGACGATTCTCTTGAGGAACTATCTAACACTGTAACAGATGATTTATTAGTGTTTTTCCAAATACATGGATCAGATGAAGCAGAACATTTTGGAGGCATGTCTTGAAAAAAGGAGGATTCCGAAGCTAAAGGCCATGAAAACACATTGCTTATACCAGCTGCAACAGTTTGTTTGCTTCTGAGCGGAACACCAAAACTGTATTTTCTGTTGCCAGCAAAATCTTGGAAAGTGTTATTCATATTTGTAGAACATGTAACATATTTGGGAACTGCACCAGAATTCTGAATTTTACTGCAAGAAGAGGTCAGCTGTGGGTGAACCCAAGCTGGCTCTGAGGCCAGAAAAGATAAAGATGAAGGAACGATTTTTTGTGTGCTCGTGTTGTGACTAAAAGCTCCTGTTGTTGGGCATGACAGCACCAAGTTCTGATTCAGAAAAGGCTCAAGCACCCCAAAAGTTTGTACATTTGGCGCTAATGCATGGGTGCCAATAGACAGTGAAGGTAAGTTTGGCTCTGATGCACTTGCAGACGCATCCTCACTCAAATCACTTAGAGGTCTTGACACAGTCTGTGAATAGCTGACACATGAATCCAATGATGAGGTTACATTTACTTCATTTTCTCTTATAAATGAGATTTCTGGCGTATATGTCTGTGTTACACTGACGCTTTCAATACTGCAAAGTTCAGTGTTGGCCTTTCCAGAGTCAACAACCATTTTTATTGTTTCAGGCTTCTTAGTGACAAGAGCACCCACCAATATTTCATTAGGCAGTGTCACGTAATTCATTTTGCCTTCCTCTGTGGCAATTCTATGCACAGCCTCAGCTTCGTTTCTGCTTCCCCCTGAAATTGCTGCTGTTGCATCCCGAGCGCAATTACATGTCAATAAACCAACTGCATCTATGCCACATGTCTTGCATAATGTTGGTTCAGAAATGCCTCTTGCATGTACATAAGATGACTGACTAACAGAACAATTTATTACAGAATTGCTACCCACTGAAATATGCAAATCAGGACTGCACGAACTGTTTCCTACTGGCACAGTATGAAGCTGTGACCTATATGCACTATCATGCTTCATTTCTGGGTATACCTCTTTTTCTTCTGGTCCACTGTCAGTGGGTTTAGACACCAAATCCTTCCTACTGCACTGGGCTTTAATATCTTCATTATGATGCGGCCATGGAGAGCCCTGTTCATGGTGCTCATGCTCCTCTTTTGACCCAGACAAATCATATTTTCCACTGTCAATTTTATCTTCACAAATATCTAAGTTCGCTATAGCATCTACCAAACGGCTCATGTCTCCTTTACCAGGCTCGAGAGAACTGCCTGTACCACTAAATATGCTTCCTGTAGTTCTATCAGATGCAGATGTATTACACGTGACAGATGTATAAACAGCATCACCAGACCGGCACACAGAACTGAATTGATCATCATGGGCCTGTCTTGGTGATGACAGAGAACAATTTTCAGCTGACCCCACATCTCCTGCATTGTTAGAACTATCTGCTAACCAACTAAGCTGCAGGTCTGGTTCTTGATAGCCAGCTTGCATCCTGTGCATGGGATGGGTATCCTCTCTGAAAACACAAAACAACACACAATTAAGACTCCAGTTTGTTATGCTGTGACTATACAGGTATTTTTTTATAACATGACCAAGCCAAGCAAAGCACAGTATCTTCACCTTCACACCTGCACCACTTTACCCTAGAGAAAGAATCCCAGATACCCACTGGGTGGGCCCCACAGCTGGTTGGGATGTTGTGGAGATAAGAAAAATCAATGCAGTTACACATGAAATGTATGACGGATATTCAATGCAGGTAAGAGTTTTGGCAAAATTGAAGTACCTGATGATGGGCAGCTGGGGCCAAAACATGCTGTAAAAAGTGAAAATACTAGGAATAAAGTGGCTGCATTGTTGGTGGAACTGTAATATAAATATTCTATGTGAATGCCATAATAATACTGTGAAGTTAACCAGTTCACTGAATACAAAAAGCGAGTTATTATGACTTCTGTGGCAGACAAGCTGAAATACTACTTACTGCAGATGTAAATGTGATTCCAAAGATTCAAGTTATAGACTTATTTGATTATAAAAACACTGCAAAGAGTCAGCATCATGTCAATGTGAAACAGCTGTGACTAAAATGCACCACACCTTCTCTGTACTGTGTAACTGATAAACTACTACAATTACATTTCTGAAAAACTGTGAAATACTTGTCCATTAATGAGAAAGTATAAGAGCCTTGAGAGTTAAAAAATAAATAATTTTTAATATTCCAGCTTAAGGTAAATGAATGCTGTGGGAAACGAACATATATGAACACTACTACTGATATAAACTAAACCCAAAACAATCTGTTATCACACAACATAGATTTGGGTCAGGCATGCAACTTTAGAACATTAATAACTAATAAGCAATCTGCCTGGATTAAAAAAGTGAACTGAGTACTGGTTGTAAGATTTGAGGCTTTCACGGCGTTGACTATGAAGAAAGCAGTCTTCTGGGATTTGGCACCGTGTATAACAAGGGCAGATGATTTCAAATCCAATTCTTCTGTTTTACGAAGCACTTAAAGAGAATTAACCGCTCACATTTGTATCTTCAAGTCCTTCCTGTTTTAATCAGTTATCTTAACGTACCTTTTTTTGGTTGGAAATGAAATTAGTTTAGGCCCAAGCCTTTTCTAAACTGCATCACATCACAAAGACAAAAAATTTGTGGAGCACTATGCAGCATAGGGAAATCTTCGAAAACAATAGCCTCAATATAATAAAATTTGCTTTCGTCTGCAACCTCTTTCCTCTTTCCCTATTCTGCGTACATTTTACCATAAATTATTTTCCTTAAGGTAGCCGGTCACATGGCATCACCAGTTTGCATGCAGAAAGCCGGTTATCTCAAAAAGGTTGAAATATTAACCTACATCAATTTTGTCACGCTTCAGAAAGAATACCCTTTGTGTCATGTGTTCATAACTTACAATTTATATCACACGTTGTACTTAAAACAACTTGATCTTCAGAACATTCAGAACACTGGACAAAATACATTTAAACAGACAATCATTCTTCCACCACATAGGCACAAACGGTCACAAACATCACAGACATTCTAAAAGATCGTAAAAGATCAACACACTAACGGGCCACGGGTCTCACAGTTAATAATTGAAATTTCGAACCTAAACACGGATCACTTCTATTCTATCATAAGGTTCCGTGCCGTCCATCGGATTACTTCCATTCACACACAACACTCTACTCTGAATACACGGAGTTATGATTGCTCTCCCGCCAAAGCGGGGATCTGCTTCTTTTTTTTTGTAAATCATGTCCAGTTTCGACCATCATCACGGATGCCAGTTATCCCTGTGCTTAACTGCGTACTATAGGATGACGACGGATTTTGTTGGGGGGATAAACAGATGGAAGCGGTGGAGGTTTTAATGACCTTTGCACTAGTTGGTGAGGGGTCAGCTTCACGACTCGATCGCTTTAACCCCCGCCTATTTTAATATAAGATATGTAATGAGATTGTAGAATTTCAAAGAACAGGACGTTATGATATGATGTACATGATGACAAAAGGCGTAGGATGGAAAGAGAATCATGGGATTCAAAATATTGGCATCGAAGACTCCCAGGGGAATAGAATAGTAGATCAGAGGAAAGTGCTGAAAATTTGGGAAAATTATATTACAGAACTATCTGATTGACCTAATCGGCCAGAAACCTTAGAAGTTGAACTGGAAGAAGTAGATACAGATGAGAAAGGACCATATATTTTACAAAGTGAGGTGGAAAAAGCTATCAAGGAAATGAGGAAGGGAAAGGCTACAGGAGATGATGATGTACCTGGAGATGTGCTCAAGTTACTGGGAAAGGTGGTTTGAAAACACTGACAAAACTAATAAACACCGTATATGAAACTGGGGAGTGGCCCAAGGACTTTACAGAAGTGATAATGATTGCCTGAAAGAAAAAGACAAAAGCTACAAAATGCAGTGACCATCGCACAATAAGCCTTACTGCACATACAGCAGAGATAATAGCAAAGAAACTTAAAAGAAGAATTGAAAGGAAAATAGAGGATATACTTGGGGAAG